TTAGTTCTCATGGCTCAGTCAGTTAAGCATCTGTCTTTGGCTCAGGTCATGATCCCAGGGTCCTGGGATGGAGTCCCACATCCGGCTCCCTGCTCAAAGAGGAGTCTATTTCTTCCTCTCCCTCTGCCCCTCCTGCCAGCTTGTTTTCTCTCACTCTCTCTCTCTCTCAAAGAAAATATAATCTTTAAAAAATAAAAAATAAAAAATAAATTAGATCCCTACTTCAAACCATATACAAAAATAAATTGAAGTTGAATTAAAAACTACATTTGAGGGGCGCCTGGGTGGCTCAGTGGGTTAAAGCCTCTGCCTTCAGCTCAGGTGATGATCCCAGGATCCTGCGATCAAGCCCTGCATCTGGATCTCTGCTCAACAGGAAGCCTGATTGCTCCTCTCTCTCTGCCTGCTTCTCAGCCTACCTGTGATCTCTACATTTCAAAACTACATTTGAAAATGCAAAACTGTAAAACTTCTAAGAAAAATAATTTGTCCATTTTTTCATTCATTCAACAAATATTTACTGAGCTTCTGTTATATACCTAGCCTAGTACTATGTACTTAGCCTAGTACCTAGTACCTAGCAGTGAATAAACAAAAGTCGATGTTCTTGTGATGGTTTGCATTCCCAACAAACAAATAGGTACATGCCAGCTGATGCTAAGTGCCATGGGGAAAAAAGAAAGCAGGACAAGGGGATAGCGTATAGAGAAGGGCTTCTATTTTATAGTGGTGGCTGAGGAAGGTCATCCTGATAAGATGAGTTTGGCATGTGGATATCCAGAAATTTCTGCCTGTAATAAGAAATTTACAGGCAGAATGACTCACCTGAGCAGTGGCCCTAAAGCAGGAGTATACCTGGTCATTGAGGAAAAAGAGGGCCACTGTGTCTGGAGGAGGTGGGGGTGGGGAGAAGAGTGACAGAAGAGAAGGTAAAAGAGGAAGAAGGAAACAGGGTAGGCAGGGGCTGGAAGACCATTGATAAGGACATCTGAAGAGAGTGGGGAACCACTGGAGGATTTGAGCTAAGGAATGGCAAGATACAGCTAACAGTTTATAAGGATTACTCTAGCTACTGTGTGGAAAGTGGACTGGAGAAGGATAAGGGTGAAAGGGACAGAGTGTCCAGTTAGTAGGTTATTCTAATTGTCCAGGCAAGAGATGATGACTTGTTTCTGGATAATGGTGGTGGAGGTAGTAAGAAGCGCATGTGTTCTGATGTATTTTGGAGGTTGAGAAGATATAATTTGCCTACATAATGGGAGAGAAGGGGAGAGGTCAAAGTGTGGAGATTCCAAGGCCCCCATGACTGGTTTAATGGTGGTGCTTTTTAATAAGATGAACCCTGTAGGAGGAGTAGGCTTATGGGAGACCACGAAGAACCTGGTTTTGAACATCTTAAGTTAGAGATACTTATCAGACATCAAGTATAAGTGTCAAGTAGTAGGCTAACCAGTATATGAGTCTGGAGTTCAGGCAAGAAGGTGAAGCTACAGATGTCAATTTGAGAGCAGCCAATCTATAGATGATGTATGAAACCATGGGCTGGGTGACATCCCTGAATAAATTAATGTCCATAGAGGAGAGGAGGTCCCCAGGGTGCTCCAGTTTTAGACCTGGAAGGGAAGAGAAGGAACCAGTAAAGGAACATTCAATGGGATTTGAAGAGAACCAAAGAGAAGGGGGGTTTCTTAAGAAGGAGGGAGCAATTATGTCAGATGCTGCTGAGAGGCTGAGTGAGATGAGGACTGAGCATTTATTGTTTTGGCAAAGTGGAGGTCATCCACAACCTTGCTGATCATTTCAGTAAGTGGTGGTGATGAAAGCCGTTGGGCCTCCTTTCAAGAAAGAACAGAAGAGAAAGGGGAAAGGATGAGTATAGATGATCTTTTTGAGTTTTCTTCTAGAGGGAGGAGGGGAAATGGGATAGGAGTTGAGAGACGTATTAAGGGAGTTCGGGGTTTTGTTTTTATTTCTTTTAACATAGGAGATACACAGAGTATACGCTGATGGGAATGATCTAGTACAGACAGATCTTTGAGGAAGTGAGAAGGAATGCGACCCAGGGCAAAAATGGAGGTGTTGGCTTTGCATGGGAACAGTGACACTTGATCTGCTGTAACAGAAGGGAAAGCAGAGAATACTTTTTAGATTGGTAACACTTTTTAGATTACTTCTATATGCTCCATACAATCAGAAGCAAGATCATCAATGAAAAGTGAGGACGTGGAAGGCTTTGGAAATTTGAGGGAAGAGGGGAGGTTATGAAATGGTTGTCTATAAGAATATGAGAGAGTGAGTCAATTAGGGAAGTGGAGCTGAAGGACTGAAGGACAGCCCTGAAGACCCTTCTAAGGTTAGTGGTTGTGAATATCACCGTGCTTGTGTGTTGTTCCCTAGCAAACATCATTTGCTGATGTGCTATTGGGGAGTGAATGGAGAGTTGTATTTATTCGGTGTTGGGGTCCTTCCAGAAAATTCAAGGGAGAAAAAGAGTAAGAGAACAACCACACATACAGGGAAGTGACTGTAATGATGGAATGCGGATTCTAAGGCAGATGGGGAGGGGGTTAAGGACTCTAAGGGGTGTGGGATATTAAAAACTGGCAGGTCAATAGAAAGCAGGTTCTGTTAGAGTTCAAGAATTATTGAAATCAGGCTATGGGAGGCAGTGTGTTGAAACCCAAGTATTGAACATGGGGATGCCTGTCATCAAGAGAAAGGAGGGAATGTGACTATTGGTAACTGGCAAGGTCTCAGGCATGACTGGAAGCAGATGACTTGGGAAAGGGTGAAGACAGGATCCCTGGGAGTGAGGGGGCCAGGAACCAAGAAGATCATCCTTGTGATCTTTGAAAACCCCAGTAATCGAGTACTGGGAAGGAGACAATGAACCAGGTGCTAAAATCTTCAAAGAATGAGGAGTGAAACCTGGAGGTCAGATGACTGCAAAAAGTAGGGGAAAAGTCAGTACTCCACTAAAATTCACACTCAGAATATGCAAATAACCCTTAAAAATCAATAAGAAACAGACAAACAACTCAATAAACAGTGGACAGAGAATGAACAGCCCATGAATTTAAAGAAGAGGAACGCTGAATGGCTGTCAAGTGTGTAAAGAGGACCAACTGCTTGGGTAATGAGGAAAATGCAAACCACGATGAGATGCTATTTTCCATCTATGAGAATGACGAAAGTGGAAATGTCTGAGGGCACAAGCATTAAGAATGACAGAGAAATAGGCGATCTCCTAGGAGTATAAATTGGTACAACAGCGTGGGAAAACAAATTTGGTAATATACAGTAAAGATCAAGATGTGTGTGCCCTTTAACCCAGCCTCTCCCTTCCAATAAAACTATGGGAGAGTTCACACTTATGTGGTGCAAGGAAATGTGCACAGGACATTTACGGCAGCACTTTAGGTGATAGATAAAAATTAAAGCAACCCAAATGTCCACCAGCATGAAAATGCATAATTGTGTGTGCTCATAGAATGGGAACACTCTCTTCCGTGCAGTTAAAGTGAATGGACTAGAGATGTACATGTTGTGGTTGGTTGAATTCCAAAAACATAAAGTTGATGAAAACCAGTCAACTGCAGTATGGTAGGTACAGCGTGGTAATATCATTTTTGGTAAAGCCTAAAAACAAGCAAAACGATACCCATGATTTATGGATATCAGTGTAATAAAAATGTAAAAATATGGGCGCCTGGGTGGTTCGGCCAGTTGAGCATCTGCCTTCCACTCAGGTCATGATACCAGAGTCATGGGATCGAGCCCTGCATTGGGCTCCCTGCTCAATGGGGAGTCTGCTTCTCCCTCTAGTCTTCCTAGTCTTCCCTCTTGCTTGTGCTTTCTCTCTCTCAAATAAATACATAAAATCTTTAAAAAATAAAGAACAATAAATAAAATGTAAAAACGTGGACAAGAAGGATACACATAACTTTAGGATGGTTGCCTCCTCTGGGGAGAGTGGGGAGAGGGCAGTAGGATCTTGGAGAAGCACAAAAGGGGGTTTTTACTCAATCTGTTATGTTTTACTTAAAAAATATGAGCTAGGGCAAAATGTTAACATTTGTGAAATGTGAGTGTTGGCTGTATGACCCTGTTCTTTGCCATTCGTTTGGAGTATTTCACAATAGAAAAAGTCCATGGCATATGTAAGATGACAGCACTTTCAGAGATCAGATAAATACACTTTTAAGGCTCATGTAATCCCACTGTTCAGTGTCAGTCTGTCAATTTGTAAGTACTTCTGGAACACCTAAAAATTGCATAACAATGCCCTCAGTATCAGGACAGCTGCAGAGGATGAGCAGAATTTCCAAACAGATGTCAGAAATATGAATGTGCCACTCATAGAAACATATAATTCATCATAACAAATGTGCATCAAGAGGAGATGGTACTGGTAGCTTCATCTAGAATGGGCTGGAATTGACAAAAACCTCCTAAAATATTTCTCAGTGGCCATAGCTCTCCAGTGCTTCAATCTGTGACTCTGCTTCCTGCCACCCACCCCCAACCAGGCTCTCTCTAGGCCATAAGGGCATTTGGAAACCCCCCCTCTCCTTCTCCTGTGTGATATATAATTCTTTATTTAACAAATAAATATGTACGGCTTCCTGTCAGGCTCCCGTGTGCATACACACATAGCCCAGGTACCAAGCGCTCCCTTTCCTGGGTTCTCTTCCTCTTACTGTAATCATAACCCCATGCCCCTCTGTCTGCACTCTCCTGGGAAAGTGAACCCCTCTCTTCCTTCAGGACCTTTTGCTACTGGAAACCTAGCTGGGGAGGCAGGAGCTTACCTTAGGAGGGGTCATTCAGGGCTATTACAGGTGATCCTAAGGATATCACATTTTGCTTAAATGTTTTCATGACTCAAAAACGGGCTAGGGAGTGTGGTGGGCAGGGAATAGGGTGAGCTTAAGGGGAGTGTCCTGGAAGGTGAGAAGAAATGGGAGGAAGCTCTTATATAGCAGAATACTCAGGGTGATCAGAAGTTTCATGATTCCTACAGTGCCAGGCTTCTGTTCAAGGATCTGAAGAAAGCACCTGAGTTCATCAGCCCCAGGTAGGCTTGTCTATTTCCTCCACCCATACCCCTGGGGACAAAGGGCTGCAGATACTGGAGAGGCCAGAGTCCTCTAGAAGGACTAGAGGCCAGAGCCTCTTCTCAGTACAATCCCTGCTCTGTAAGGCTTAAGATTGGCCAGGCTAGAGGGTGTAGTGGTCCTTAACTGAGGAAGTGCTAACCTCCTTGTTTCTTATGTACCAGAAATATCAGTTCAAATCCCTGCTGGTAGTAAGTATCAGCCATGCCAGAGGCACCATGGGGCTAACTGTCCCCATCCTCGAAGAGCATGCCAGGGGGCTCTTGCAGGGCTAGGTGTGGGAGGGAGGAGAGGGATTCATCTGAGCCCTCCTGTGAATCCTGGGCCCTGGAAGTGTGTTTAGAGGTTTCCACAGTGTATTCAGAGTATATTATTTCAGAAAATTTAAGAACAGTCCAATTTTCATACAAGTCACCTAAAATCTCTAAATGTACAGTTAACTTAAAGTTACAAAATTTTAGTAGCAGATTTTTACTATTCACAGCCTTAATAATCATGCCAAATTCTTAAAGGATTCTCAAAGTCCTCTAAGGTATGTATAGTTGGTAAAAAAAATTTTTTAATTAACTTTTTATTTTGGAATAATTTTAGATTTACCAAAAAGTTGCAAAGCTAGAACACAGAGCTCCTGTACACTCTTCATTTGGTTTCTTCTAATTTTAACGTTTTATGTAAAACAATGGCACATTCATCCAAACTAGGAAATGAACACTGGTGCAATATCACACTAAACTACCTGCTTTATTCCTAGCTCTCCAATTTTTCCACTTACCTTTCTTTGTGCCCAGATCCAATCCAGGATGCCATATTGCATTTAATCCTCCTGTCTCCTTAGTCCCCTCTTATCCCAGACATTTCCTCAGTCTTGTTTTTCATGACCTTAACAGTTTTGAAGAGTATTGGTCAAGGCATTGTAGAATGCACCTCAGTTTGGGTTGGTCTAATGTTCTTCTCGCGACTGGGCAGGGATACCGGGCTTGGGAGAATACCCTGAGGTGAAGTACCCTTCGTATCTCATCATATCAGCGCATCCGTGACCGTGCGTGACTTACATGGCTATGTGAACCTTTGTTAGGGCAGCGTCTGCTGGGTTTCTCCATAGTGAAGTTACTACTGCTCCTTCTCTACACTCAATTCTTTGGAAGCAAGGCTCTAAGTCCAGCCTACCCTCAGGGTGCGGGAGGAGGGATTCCTCTCCAGCTCATGCAAAGTAAGTATCTGGAGTTCTTCTAGAAAGAAGGCTTATTTCCTCCTCATCATTTAGTTATTGACTTAGTCATTTTTCTGGTATCAGTATGGACACACACATATTTATTTTAGAGGTTAGATTAAAATTCAATACTACATTATTTATTTTGTTGCTTATTTGTTCCAACTTTGGCCACTGGAAACTCTTTCAATTTGGCTCCTTTGCCCTTTGACACCCCTCCATCCTTTCTTTTTTTCTTTCCTTTTGTTTCTTTTCTTCTTCTTCTTCTTCTTTTTTTGCAACTGTTTACTTTCTGGCAGTATCTGATGTCCCAGGTTCCTCTTGTGTTTTTCCTGCTCCAGCCCTAGAAGCAGCCATTTCTCCAAGAAGGAACTGGGTATTTTAAAATAGTAGACTTTTTTTTTTTTTAAAGATTTATTTATTTATTTATTTATTTGACAGAGATCGCAAGTAGGCAGAGAGGCAGGCAGAGAGAGAGGAGGAAGCAGGCTCCCCGCATCGGGCTCTCTGCTCAGCGGGGAG